AATAATGTCACTTGATACTTTTAGATTTCTTCAGCACTTTTATACCAGACATGTCAACACTACCATAGTATAAATATTGTTCAAAGCTAGGGTTCAGCACTTCATTACTACATATATAATCCCAAGTGTCACAAAATAATTACATATAAAAAATGCGAAAGGCTACATCTAAGGCAGCTATGACCGCCCTCTTCTTGGTCATTGCATTTTGTGAGCTTTTCTTCCTAGCTACTTGTCTCATCAGCCACCAAAATCAAAATTAAACAGTAGAAATAAGCCAAGATTAAACAGCTTCAACTAATTCATACAAGGAGTAAAGAAATCCTTCGTAACCGCATTTACATACTTACTAAATGTCCATATCTCAAAAACAACCAATTCAATCAGAAGGGTCACGTTTATAGGGAATTGTTGGGCTCCAGAAAACAGGATCACAAGTAACACTAGTAAATTCATCGAAAACTCGACATAACATAGCAACATGAGCAATCAGAGAACTTTGAAGACCAATATGGTATGAGGTTGTTCCGCATCAAATTCAGCAATATAAATCTCCTCATTTTGCTTCATAAAATCCATATACATATACATCAAATGCAACAGTAAAAACACAAGAATCAAACCATAAATTCAGATAAAATCTCAAACTTTAAAAGATATGGCAGAGCAATCAGAGAACTTTGAAGGCATGATTTGAAATTCCACATCAAATTCAGATTAAAATAAATCTGATTTCATCATTTTGCTTTGCCATTTTCTTCAGATTTAGTACTTGTATTTTCCGGGCAAATAATAGTTGTGCAAGAGAAATCACTCAGATTCACTGCACAACCGATGCCAAAGATTGAATCTTGCACCCAACCCTTTGCTCGAAATTTCCCTGCTACCATGTTTCCAAGCAGCAAGGGGCTATCTGGTGCATTACAAGATTAAAACTTGATAATTTCAAAATCCCAGTAAAATCCACACAATAATTACAGATATCAAAACTGAAGAAAAGGGATACTCAACGGCGAAGTACCTGACGTGGGAAATCTATCAGTTGTACTTGCGGGAGCTTAATGCAACCGGAAGAGGGATTTTTACCTGCAAAATAAAAAGGCAACACAAAATACTCCATTCACTAGACTATCAGTGGTTAAGAAAACTCACAAGATGCAGTGACCAAGAAAACAACCATCATATATGGCTGCCTACATCTTTCTCCATTTCATTCTAATTATGCCGTGAATTTTGGGATGATGTGATGATCGATTTCAAGGCTTTTGGTTTAATTTATACTAAGGGACTGTTGGCATTTCTAGTAGCTAGTTTAGGCTTTTAGTGGTGAGAAAATCTAATTTTTCTAAAAACTATCAAGTGATATAAGTCATTTCCAACCCGAGAGTTACCGATAAGAAAATTCAACTGGATATTAGGAAAATTTAAGGCTTGGGGATGACAATCCTTAGTTTTCATGTTTAGTATCCTCAACAAAGAAATGATGAATCTAACAGGGAAACATGAAAAAAAGCTGAAAGGAAATGATGAAATCTACTAGACGAATTTTTATTAAATTGCAAGCAAAATCGGGTTATTAGAGTATTAGGGAAAATTTGATATTTTTTTATATGTTTATTTTTGTTTTCCTTTTGGGTTATGATTGTTTTCTATTTAAGCCAACTCATGTAATTGTATTTAGAATTACTAATAAAATTTTAGAGAACCCAAATACCTCCATAATTTTATATCTACATACACTTTTCACTATGCTAAGTGAGTTTGTATTTTTCACAAAATCATCACCAACTGCAAAAAGTAAAAACTCAACATTATTGGTTCACTGTGATTATTATGATACACAGCCATCTAAAGAAACAACAAAAATCAAAACAATCAAACAATAAAATTCCAAAACTCACCAAAATAGTAGCATGGTAGCTATGTTCAAAAGGCACATGAAGATTGCCACATATGCATTGGCTATTTTAATTAGGTTATGCCCTCACCTTTGACTTTTATATTTGTTTTGTTTCTTTTTACTAACGTTCATACACGGGAGTGAATTTTTTAAATCATGGTGTGCTACGCGTGACTTAGACATTTTAAATGTATTTATATGCGTGAATTGCTTTAATATTTTTTTTATGACAAAAAGAAAGTCAAATATTTGGACTAAATGAATAATATTAGATTATGCTAGAAGAAACCTCTCATAAACCAATCAAAGTAGCTGAATCTATAATAAAATCGATCTTTCAATTTTCATCTACATTCTATTGAATTTACATTAAAAATAGAGAAAATAATATTTAATAAATAACTGATTGAATTACTTTATTGCTAGCTCATTGCAAGGCTAAGGCCACCCCCCCTCCCTTTAGTGTAGATAATATCATTTGTTCAAAAAAAAAAAATCATTTGACAACTAATTGAATCACATTATTATGCGCGTACGAAAGACCTTTTTTATAACCGGCACTACGCGCCTCTTAAGTGTTTAAAAATAGAGAAAATAATATTTAATAAATAAATGATTGAATCACATTATTGTGCGCGTGCGAAATACCTTTTTTTATCACTGGTGGTACATGCCTCTTAAGATATTTGGAACATGTTAAAAAAAATATTTAATAAACAATTGATTGAATCACATTATCGCTAGTGATTGAATCACATTATCGCTAGTCCATTATGAGGCTAAGCCCACTCTCTCCCCCTTAGTGTAGATAATATCGCTTGTTAACACAAAAACAAAAAATAATCATTTGAGAACTAATTGATTCACATTATTATGTGCGTGCAAAAAACTTTTTTTTTAATAACCGGTACTACAGGCCTCTTAAGATGTTTTGAATATGTTTAAAAATAGAGAAAATAATATTTAATAAACAACTTATTGAATCACCCATTGTGAGGTATTAATTATAAAAATTAAAAAAAAAAAAAAACATTGCACAGAAAAATTAATTATTAAAAAAATATTGCTTATATGATGAAAACATCCCTACATAATTTTGAGTTTTTTTTTTTTTGAACTTTTTAGTTTAGAGGGTATTTTTGTCCCATTACTTTTTGATGAAGTCGCGACCCCCAAAAGGGTGCTGCAGGCTTTATATTTCTTTTTATTTATAAAAAAATCAAAATAATTTAGACAACTAAAGGTCCATTGCCTAATTAAAATTGTGACTCACTCTTTTGCATCCAAATTCAAATTTTATAAATCATCGCATAAAAAAGTCTTACATTGGTGAAATAAAAAAACTTTGCAAAGACTTATAAAATGTTGGGCTACTTCCCATATTAGGGTGTTGCCAATTGGTTTTATGGTGGAACCTCAACTTTCTTCATGATATCAGAGCATGTTGCCCCACATGTGAAGCCCAACGGTTTACACATGCTCCACACCACCCCGTTCGTGTTGTCTACGTGTTAGACTTGAAAATTCAACACACATAAGGGGGCATGTGAGAATGTGAGGTATAAAAGTCTCACATTGGTGAAAGGAGAAACCTTGTAAGGGCTTGGTTGGGCTGTTCCCCATATTGTCAATTAGTTTTATGGTGGAACCTCAACTTTCTTTACGCCTTCCACAGTTTAAGTAAAATATGGATCTATTTCAAATTTTCGCTAATAATTATTACAGCATTTCAATTATTATTTCTTAAAGAAAGATTGCAACTTTTGTCAATCCACTATAGAGGCTTAAATTTTGAAGTTGCACGGCCAGCTATTTTAGCCTTTAGCTACATAGATGGACAAAAGTACTTGTATAATGTATAGCTAAGATATACATTAACCATCCACACATTTGCATTCCCCATCGACACATTTGATAGTTCCAAAAGCACATTTAACTCCTTTGCAGTCGGTCAAAACGGAACATTGATCGTTTTGAATTTGCGGGCCAGACTGAGAGAACTCAGGGAGAAAGCACAAGCATTTCCCGTTATGACACGTAGCCCTTCCCTTTGGACAGTCTTCTGCAGTATCTCTACAGTCGGTGAGACTCCGGCAGTCGGCGGCGACGTCGTGAATAGCATTTGCGACTTCGCATGTGCAGACGTGATCAACACAAAGAACAAAGTCTGAGGTGCACGGATACGTCTTGCAGTCGGCGTTCGAATTGCATCGTTGGACAGCCTTAGCTGCTTCTGCTCCTGCAGCCACGCCTGCAGATTTTAAATAATTAAATCCATTGGAGACGGCCTTCATATGTATTTAAAATTACAAACAATCGACTTCGACGACAATCATATATTATGGGAAGAGAGTTTGACTAATTGGGAGAAAAGAACTCACAAATGACCAAGAAGACGACCCGACTAATCATACTCGTCTTAAACGCAGCCTTCTCCATGTTTTTCTTGTTGCGTCACGCTGTGGGGATGTTTTTCTTTCAGTAAAGTGAGCCTGTAATCTATATTTATAAGGGCTCTCATGCACATTTCTGATAGTTTCACACGTTATATCAAAAAGCCAAAGAAATCTGAATATATCTAGTAAGTCATGTAATTGATACCATAGGATTTTATAGTGTGTTTCCTGATGTGGAAATAAAATATCATATTTAGGAAACAAAATCACAATTTAAGATTGATATATGATATTTAATTTCTTTGTTTGGTACGGAAAATATGGAAAAGAAGAAATGAAATTTGGGAGTATGTAAATAAGGTGTGAACTACTTATTTAGTACGCTTCATAATATTTTCAAAATGTAATACAACAATGTCAATAATTGTTAGTAAGATCTTCAACATGATCCTTCTACATATCTTTTCTAACCACATGTACATGGACTAGCTACTTGAGACAAGGGTGTTTTTTTTCTTTCCAATCTCTACATTTTGAAAATTGACATACTCCACTATTAACGTAGTATAATTTGTAACTAAGTCAAATTTTATTTTTGTAACAACACGTCTATCAAGTAATCATGTCTTCATAGTAATAATACTAATAGTCGCAACATTATTACTACATAGAGGTTTTGCTCTATATATGCCTAAATTTTAGGTATGCATCCACGACCCACCTCTTTCACTCAGCTTTCTCTTATTGCCTCGAGTGGTAAATTTGCCGCTGTAAGAGTATATCTCAGTAATATTCTTGAACCCTGTGGATTGTACTACAGATGCCAACTGAATGAGGAGCTATATTCTCTTTTTTTTATTAATCCTTTAATTTGTTTTACAAACAGATTGGGAGTAGAATTACAAGCAAGCGAGTTGCTAAAATGCTAGAGGACTGCTTTCCCTGCTCATATATCTTGGTTGACAAGCATCCATTTCGTCATGATCCCTCTCATATTGTAACCCATAGAATCCAAAGTAGCATTGTTGAATTTTCCGATTGTTTATGTAAAGCTGGCCTTCCCTGCATGAGCAAAGAATGGAGCACTTACCTTCAAACGTTAAATGTGATGGTAATGAATCACAAGAATGAGGCTCTACTTTTTATTTTAAATTATTTGGCCTTTTTTTGTTGCTTTCATCCAGATTTTGATATGTTCCAACCCTAGGACTAAACATTAAATTGCACCCAGGCATTTTTATTTTCCATCTGAAACTCCTGAGTAGCTCTCTCAAGCATACATGTTCTGTCTGGATTCTGGAAGAAAACTGATAAAATTTGGCTGGAATGTTAATATCTTTCTTTTCTGTTTTTCCTTTTTGGGTTTTACCTTTTAAGTTCCCTTTTCCTATGTTATAGGTTTCGAGGGAGTTGTCATTTCAAATTTATGCCAGAGACTTCTTGACTGAACCTCAAGTTGCAAGCGTGATATCCAAAGCACTTTCAGCTGAGTCTGCTCTTTTCATTGGGAACAGTATGGCGATACGTGATGCAGATATGTACGGATGTGGTTGGTCAGGTTGTAGTCATAATATTGCATCCATGATTTCAAAATTACAACTACCCTGTCATATGATTCGGGTGGCTGGGAATAGGGGTGCCAGTGGTATTGATGGGTTACTCAGCACAGCTGTTGGCTTTGCTGTTGGATGCAATAAACGGGTAAGTTTTTTTATATTGGTCTCATTTCTTGGAACTACCGTTGTTTATTCTTGTGAACTGTACTTGAATGCCTTTTCCTTTGTGTTATGTTCAGGTGCTTTGCGTGATTGGGGATGTTTCTTTCCTCCACGATACAAATGGCTTGGCAATTGTGAACCAGAGGTAGGATGCTTATCTATTGGTTTTCCAGGCTTGTAAGTTCTGTTCCGGTCTATTGCTCCCTTCTCTTTTTCCACATCGCCTTTTCCTTTAAGTTTAAAATCTTTTGATCTGCCTTTCATTTCCTTAGAGTAGGTTATTGGGAATTCTATATGCTTTTTTATATCGTCTGCATGTTTGGTTTTTCTTTCTGCTGTCTTATAATCCAGACAAAGAATTTGTTTCTCGGTTTAACAAATTTACTACGTGATGAAGGACATTGCGGAAACCAATGACGATAGTTGTGATCAATAATCATGGTGGTGCAATATTCAGTCTCCTTCCTATAGCGGATAGAGTTGAGCCAAGCATACTAAATCAATACTTCTACACCTCTCACAATGTTTCAATGCACAACCTGTGTGTGGCACATGGGTAAAAATCTTTATATATCTGAACTATAAACTTGGTTGACATGCGATATTCATGTAGTCATAAATCATCCTTTCTAGATTTCAGTGTGTGTTAATTGCTCGATTTGGAGGTGCTTAAAGTTGCCACTTGCGATGTAATTCGATGGATAGTTAACATGAAAGAATAGGGTTTGAGGGTGTTGGAGTAATGGTCACCCATTTAGGGCATCACCAAGCAATGAACGACCTTGAAACAAGACACAGCCTATTGGGAATATTAGTGTGAATATCCGAGATATATGGAATTTGAAATTGTCTCAAGAATGTGCTTGCATATATGATTTTGATAGTTGATCAACTGCACCAATGCTTACATTTTCCATCTTCATCGTTGAATTCCTTTCACCAAACTGTAAACCCATTGTTTTTAAGACTTCAAAACAATTATTTCAGTGTGATGCATCTACATGTGAAGACAAAGGTGGAGCTGGAAGATGCATTATTGACATCTCAAGATAAAGAGGTGGATTGTGTCATTGAAGTTGAGGGCTGCATAGATGCCAATGCCACCTTTCACAGGTTTGTGGTTGTGCTACCTTGATGATAAGTTATTTTTAGGGTAAATCTTAGTTTACCACCCTTGAGTTTCGTGGTTTTCAACATTTAGTACATGAAGTTTTTTTTCGTCCCAGAGTCATACCTAAAGTGTTAATTTTGGGACAATGACAGTTAGTTCTGGGACGAAAAAAACTTCATGTAATAAATGTTAAAAACCACGAAACATAAGGGTAGTAAACTGAGATTTACCTTTATTTCTATCGGCTTATTAACTGACTGCGGACATATTCTTTCCCTCCTTTCCTTATTTTTATCGGCTTATTAACTGACTGCGGACAAATTCTTTCCCTCTTTAGTACTTACAAAAAGAAAAATATCTTCTTATCTCAGTACTTTAAGAAAGTTTGCGTGCCAAGCAGCAGATCATGCGTTGAGCCCCTCCTCAAAGATTTCTGTTCAAGACTCACCAGCTGATGGCACTTTACTTTATAGAGTCCATAGAATGGAGTATTCAGTATTTAGGTGAATTCTTTGCTGATGGAATAAATTTTTAATATTCTTTAATTATGCTTGGAAAGAAGGATTTGATATATTTTTATTCTGTTTTGGACAGTATACCACTCTGTGCTCCTCCTACTATGGTTTCTGTTGATGATAATGAAACCAGCTTCTACAGAGAAGGGTTTATTTTAACTTTGTATCTTGAGGATGGAAGCATTGGGTTTGGCGAGGTTAGTTTTGGTACAAATTTTCAACTAATCCACTTGCGTTTCTATAAGCCTTATTTGACCATTGATGGCTTTAATTAAACAGGTTTCGCCTCTCGATATCCACAGAGAAAGCCTGCTAGATGTAGAAGAGCAACTGAGGTTACTTGTTCATATGATGGAAGGAGCTAAGATTAGTTGCTTCCTTCCTCTGCTAAAGGGCTCTTTTTCTTCTTGGATATGGACCAACCTGGGAATACTGGTAAATCCTTTTTTTTTAATGTACTTATCAGAAGGGGAAAAAGATAGAGCTCTGTTATAAATATATCTTCATAGAACATATGCTTTTGATTGTGATACAGCCATGCACGCTCTTGCCTAGTGTTAGATGTGGTTTGGAAATGGCAATTCTCAATGCATTAGCGACAAGGCAAGGTTCCAACTTATTAGGCCTACTCCATCCCTTGAAAGCTGAAGTAGGTATATCTGAAAGGCCGATGACAGTTCAGATTTGTGCCCTAGTTGATTCCAATAGAACGCCCACACAAGTAGCTGATGTTGTAGCAGCACTTGTTGAAGAAGGATTTACTGCGGTAAAGCTGAAGGTACTGTTGTGCGGAAGCTTCAACAAGTGTGAGTGAAAAATAATAAACCCTAGAAACTGATAACAGATAAATGAAACAATACCAACAAGAACACCAAGATTTATACTGGTTCGGCAATGCCTACATCCAGTTTGGAGACGACGGAGTATTCTACTATAATCAATGAGAACATACAATGGTGTTTCACTCAATTTCCCAAAGACCCGAATAACCCAAGCTCACACACTTACAATAGGAAGAGAAAATATCGAATACAAAGCAAAACAATTTGAGAGGATTTTTTCTTTCTCTCTACCGAATGGTTTCTTGCTGTTTCTCTTCTGTGTCTCTATCTAGGCTGCTCCAGCTTCTTCTTATAGAACCGAATAAGATGACTTCTCAAGAGAACCAAAGGCCAAAGGTCTTCAGATGTCAACGCATTGAGCATCTGCTTTTGTTTGTCTACCACATGCAGCAGATGGCAACGCATGCCACCACAAAAGAACATCTGCTTTTGTTACTCTCCCACATGCTGTATGCCAACCCATGCCACTGCAAAAGTAGCAGAAACCAGATATTTATCAATTGTTTATTGTTTGAGCCAATAATCAACAATCTCCACCTTGGCTCAAACCCTCTAAGTAGAACTCCAAATTAGTCGTCTCCCACTCCCCCATGGGGCAATCAACAAATTTTACAAATGCCAACCAAGTCTAAGCAGTGCTTAAACTTGAGCAACGAAATTGGCTTTGTTAACATATCCGCAGGATTGTTAGCGGTCCCAATCTTCTGAAGAAGAATATCTCCCTCGTCTATGATCTCACGAACAAAATGGAACCTCACGTCAATGTGTTTTGTACGTGCATGATGAACTTGATTCTTTGCTAAATGAATAGCACTCTGACTGTCGTAATGGACATCCACATGATCTTGTTGAACCCCTAAGTCATCAAGCAACCCTTGAAGCCAGATGGCTTCCTTTATAGCTTCTGTTACAGCCATGTACTCCGCCTCAGTAGTCGACAATGCAACTGTAGATTGCAGACTCGACCTCCAACTTACCGGACCTCCAGCAATAGTGAATACAAAACCAGTAGTAGACCTACGCTTGTCTAAATCACCTGCGTAATCAGAATCCACATATCCAACAACACATTTACCTGTAATTTTATCCTGCTGGAATAATAAACCAACATCCACAGTACCTAGAATATACCGTAGAATCCATTTCACAGCTTGCCAATGCCCTTTTCCTGGATTATGCATATATCTACTGACAATACTAACAACTTGTGAAATATCAGGCCTAGTACACACCATAGCATACATCAAACTACCAACAGCATTTGCATAAGGAATTTGAGCCATGTACTGTCTCTCCTCAACAGTTTTAGGAGACATAGAAGCACTAAGTTTGAAATGAAGGGCAAGAGGTATACTAACCGGTTTTGAATTTTCATTCATCCTGAAATGATGTAGTACCTTATTCAATTATTGCTTTTGACACAAACTAATCTTGCCCTTTGCTCTATCTCTTTCAATTTCCATACCTAGTATCTTCCGAGCTTCTCCCAAGTCCTTCATCTCAAATTCATTGCTCAGTTGAGTCTTCAACCTTTCAATCTCCACTTTGCTCTTACATGCTATAAGCATATCATCAACATATAAAAGTAGATAAATGAAGGTTCCATCTTGTAGTTTGCGAAAGTATACACAATGGTCATAGTGACTTCTTGTGTAATTTTGCCCAATCATAAATCGATCAAATCGCTTGTACCATTGCCTTGGAGACTGCTTCAAGCCGTACAATGTTTTTCTTAATTTGCAAACCCAATTTTCCTTTCTAGCAACTTTAAAACCTTCTGGCTGGGACATGTAAATCTCTTCCTCCAAATCACCATGTAAGAACGCAGTCTTGACATCAAGTTGGGCTAACTCAAGGTCAAACTGCACAACCAAAGCCAACAGAATACGAATAGAAGAATGTTTTACTACAGGAGAAAATACCTCATTGTAGTCAATGCCTTCTTTCTGAGAGTAACCTTTAGCCACCAATCTGGCTTTGAATCTTACATTATCTTTTCCCAAAGATTCCATCTTCTTGGCATACACCCATTTACAACCAATTTCTTTCTTCCCCTTCGGTAACTGCACCAGTTTCCAAGTCTCATTTTTATGAAGAGATTTCATCTCCTCATCCATAGATTTCTTCCACTCCTCGCACTCTGGACTTATGACAGCTTCTTTGTATGCGGATGGAATGTCATCTTCAATAACGGGAAGTGCATATGCCACAATATCAGTAAATCGAGCAGGCTTTCGAATTTCCCTTCTCGATCTTCTGATTGCAATATAGTCTTGTTGCTGTGGAGGCTCTTGTGTAGGTGCCTCTACTTCATCATCCACGTCTTCGTCATCAGAATTAACTGTAGGGCTAGGGTTTGTAACATCAGACCTTACTGGGACAACTGGAATCTTCAGTAACTCCACCTGCTTTGTGTTGCTCATGATCTTGGTTGCTTTAGTTTCACCTTCATGCTTGTTCCGATTAACCATACCAGCCTCATCAAAAGTCACATCTCTGCTTACAACAAATTTCTTCATATCTGGACATCAGAGTCGATATCCCTTCACGCTAATGCTAAAGCCCATAAATAGAGCTTTCTTTGCTCTTGGATCCATCTTGCTTTCTCTGACATGATAGTAAGCAGGCCAACCAAATATGTGTAAGAACTTGTAATCAGTACAAGGTTTATTAGACCATACCTCCATGGGCGTTTTGCCCTCGTTTGCAGCAGCTGGCAATCGATTAATGATATGGCTTGCATAAGTGATTGTCTCAGCCCAAAATGCCTTGCTTAAACCAGCATTAGATAACATGCACCGGACTTTCTCAAGCAACGTACGGTTCATGCGCTCCGCCACTCCATTTTGTTGTGGTGTCTCCTTAACCGTAAAGTGCCTCACGATACCCTCATCTTGACAGACTTTCAAGAAAGGATCAGACTTATATTCACCCCCATTGTCTGATCTGAGAGTCTTGATCTTTCGATTGCTTTGAGTTTCAATCATCTTTTTCCACTTCAGGAATATTTTCAAGACTTCATCTTTACGCTTCATGGTGTACACCCATATTCTTCTAGAGAAGTCATCAACAAAGGAGACAAAATAATGGCTACCTCCCCAAGATGCATTCTTGGAAGGTCCCCAAACATCAGTGTGAACATAATCAAGAATGTTTTTAGTGTGGTGAATAGCAGTGCCAAATTTTACCCTAGTTTGCTTACCAAACACACAATGCTCATAGAATTCCAATTTGCATGCCTTTGCACCTTTCAACAAGCCTTGCTTCACCAATCCTTGCAACGCTTTTTCACCAGCATGCCCTAGACGCATATGCCATAACCTTGTGATGTCTGTGCTATCGTCAATAGCTTCGGTTATGGCTGCTCCACCAATAATTGTACTTCCCTGCAAGAAATACAAGTTATTTCGTCTTATACCTTTCATCACCACCAGTGCCCTGTACACAGTTTTAAGAACTCCACTCTTCATGGTGATCTTAAGACCCTTGGATTCCAAAGCTCCCAGAGAGATAAGGTTTTTCTTCATATCCGGTATATACCGAACATCACTTAATTCTCTGACTGTTCCATCATGCATCTTCAAACAGATTTTGCCTATCCCTTGTGTTTTGCAGGCATTATCATTACCCATCAAAACAACTCCACCATCCAGCTCCTCGAAGCTAGAAAACCATTCTCGAATGGGACATATATGATAAGTGCAACCTAAATCCAAAATCCACTCCTTGGAGTGACCATTAGTAGATGAACTAGCCAAAGCAAACTCGAGATCATTATCTCCTTGGTTTACAATATTTGCTTCAGGACCCGCTTTCTCCTTCTCTTTATTCTTCAATTTGGGGCAGTCTCTCTTCCAATGACCCTTTTGGCGGCAAAAGGCACATTCATCTTTAGCAAGAAACTTCCCTCGTGACTTTGAACGAGATTTTCCCCGTTTCACATATTTTCTTTCCACTGTTCGACCCCTTGCAACAAGTGCCTCGGTTTGTGAATTGTGAGTCTTTAGTTTCTTCTTTCGACACTCATGATTCACCAATGCCGCAGACACCTCATCAAGTTTCACCTCGGTTTTTCCATACAACAAAGTAGTTGTCAAATGATCATAATCATCAGGCAATGAATTTAACAAACATAATACCTTGTCCTCGTCAGGAATTTTCACATCAAGGTTTGCTAAATCAGCAAGTATTCTATTATAATCATTGAGGTGTTCATGCATAGAAATACCTGGACTATACTGAAAACGGAAGAGTCGTTTCTTCAGGAAGAGCCGATTTTCTGCGCTCTTGGTCATATACTTTTCCTCCAATTTTGTCCATAACTCCTTGGCAGAAGTTTCCTTCATATACGGGTATTTCAACTCCTTGTCAAGAAATGATCGAATAGCAGCACAAGCATGAAGATTAATTCGCGTCCACTGCTTGTCCTCAATATCTTCTGGTTTCTCTTCCAGAACCATATCCAACTCTTGTTGATACAAGACATCCATAACTTCACATTGTCACATACCAAAATTATTAGAGCCATTGAATTTATCAACCTCTAACCTTGTAGTAGCAATTTGGTGTCTGTTAGATGTAGGTGTCGACTCCTTCTTCTTCACAGGTTCACCTTCATCTCCAGCCATCTTCTTCGGCACTATTCACGGGAATGCAGCGCCAAGAAATTTTCCCCTTTTTTTTTTCTTCACTCCCACGAAAAAAAAAAAAAAACAAAGCCCTAGTCGAAAAACTGGGCTCTGATACCACTTGTTGTGCGGAAGCTTCAACAAGTGTGAGTGAAAAATAATAAACCCTAGAAACTGATAACAGATAAATGAAACAATACCAACAAGAACACCAAGATTTATACTGGTTCGGCAATGCCTACATCCAGTTTGGAGACGACGGAGTATTTTACTATAATCAATGAGAACATACAATGGTGTTTCACTCAATTTCCCAAAGACCCGAATAACCCAAGCTCACACACTTACAATAGGAAGAGAAAATATCGAATACAAAGCAAAACAATTTGAGAGGATTTTTTCTTTCTCTCTACCGAATGGTTTCTTGCTGTTTCTCTTCTGTGTCTCTATCTGGGCTGCTCCATCTTCTTCTTATAGAACCTAATAAGATGACTTCTCAAGAGAACCAAAGGCCAAAGGTCTTCAGATGCCAACGCATTGAGCATCTGCTTTTGTTTGTCTACCACATGCAGCAGATGGCAACGCATGCCACCACAAAAGAACATCTGCTTTTGTTACTCTCCCACATGCTGTATGCCAACCCATGCCAACCCATGCCACTGCAAAAGTAGCAGAAACCAGATATTTATCAATTGTTTATTGTTTGAGCCAATAATCAACAGGTACTTCTCTCTTCTCTCTGAACGTATATTGAAATATTACAAAAGATTATGGTCAAATTGAATTTTTTATTATGCATAAAAAAGTAAAGGCTTGGTTTGTGGCTTTCCAATGATTTTGAAACAGGTAGCACGTCAGGGGAGTCCCTTGCACGATGCTGCAGTTATACAGGCGGTAAGAAAGAAAGTTGGGTACCAGATTCAAGTTCGTGCAGATGCCAATCGGAACTGGACATATAAAGAAGCCATCCAGTTTGGTTCCTTGGTAAAGGATTGTGATCTGCAGTATATTGAGGTATACTCTAAAAAATTTGTTAACTTATCGTTTTTACTCTACTCTAGAACTGCGTCCCAAGGGATGGAATCTATTTCTGATCAAATTTTATGTGGTTGACATACTTTTAATTTTGATGATTTAACATTGTGCGGCTTGTGCCTCATCTTCCTTTGTTAATATGAATTTAGGAGTAATGATGCTTGTGACTATATTTTTAATGTCTTCGTTGACCTTATGACTATTTATTTATTTCAGGAACCTGTTCAAAACGAAGGTGATATTGTCAAGTTCTGTGAAGAAAGCGGGTTACCCGTGGCACTGGATGAAACTATTGACAGTATTAGAGAACATCCACTTGACAAGCTAGTGAAGTACACCCATCCAGGAATTGTAGCTATTGTAAGTGGCAGTTTATGCATTGCTCATTAGTATCTTTTGCATTTTGATGTCTTCGTTACTGAAATTTATGACCCTTTGTAAAATTTCAATGGCGTATCCTGATTTAGGTTGTTCATATTGGTTTTTTCAGGTTATTAAACCTAGTGTTGTTGGTGGCTTTGAAAATGCGGCAATAATTGCTCAGTGGGCTCAGCAGCACCAGAAAATGGCTGTTGTTAGTGCTGCATTTGAAAGTGGCCTAGGTTTGTCAGCATATATTCAGTTTTGCTGTTATCTCAACCTGAAAAATTCAGAAATCTGTGAAATGATGAATTATGAATTGGCCCCGTCAATAGCCCATGGTTTAGGAACATACCGCTGGCTAAAAGAAGATGTAACAACCACTCCTCTCAAGATAGGTTGTAATCCAGTCAGTGGCTTCGTAGAAGCATCTGTTGCTGATGCTGATCAAGTTCTTCAAAAATTTCAAATAAATGGCAATGTAGTTCATAGAAATTTTACTGGAGAGCAAGTCCGCGTATTCCAGCTTACTGTAGATTCAAAGGCTTTCTCTTATTCCATCATAGTCCACGAGATTGGAGAAAGATACAATGTTAGTAAAAATTTCATATCCTTGACACTCTCTGTCTTAGCTTACATGTATTACATCTCCTGTACTGCATGCTCACTATACCAAAATCATGCTCATGCAGGAAAATGTTTTTGTATTTCTTCATGGGTTTCTTGGAACTGGTGAAGATTGGATTGCTATGATGAAGGCGATTTCAGGATGTGCAAGATGCATTTCGATTGACCTTCCTGGTCATGGTGGAACAAAGATACAGAACCATGGTGATAACGATGCTGTACAGGATTCAGGTTTGTCAATTGAGGTTGTTGCCGATCTTTTATGTGAAGTGATTAAACAGATTACGCCTGGAAAGGTTACTATTGTGGGTTACTCTATGGGAGCAAGGATTGCACTGTACATGGCTTTGAGGTGCACTGACAAAGTATGTCTACAGTTTTGAAGATTTTCATTTCAAATTTAGCTCTAGTTTAAGTGTTGTTAACAATAGTGGGAATTTTGTTATGAAGGTCAATGGAGCTGTTGTAATATCTGGAAGCCCTGGGTTAAAAGATGAAGTGGATAGAAAAATTCGTAGAGCTAAGGATGACTCTAGAGCTCGCTTCCTTATTGATCACGGCTTAGAGCTCTTCCTAGACACCTGGTATTCTGGAGAGCTGTGGAACAGGTGCTTTTAGGTTTTTTTGGCCTTAACGGTGTTTGGATTATTAGATTTGCCATTATTCACACGCTTCAGTAACCTTATGTGTAATTTGAACAGCTTAAGAGTCCATCCCCGATTTCGTCAGATAGTTTCCAGCCGCCTGCATCATGAAGATGTGCAGAGTCTTGCAAAAGTGCTTTCCGGTTTAAGTATTGGGAGGCAGCCGTAAGCTTCCCTGACCATTTTACTGATTATTTGATTCCCACACTACAATACTTATACTAGATAAGTTTTGAAATCTGAATTATGCTTTGTTTGCATGTCAGGCCATTGTGGGAAGACTTGAAGCACTGCAAAACACCCCTTTTGCTAATTGTTGGAGAGGAGGATAAAAAGTTCAAGGCGATAGCTAAGGATATGTCCTCTCAAATTGCTGGTGGCACGGCTAGTGGAGACGGCCCTCCTCATGACATCTATGAGATAGTTGAGATTCCAGATTGCGGACATGCTGCTCATCTGGAGAACCCTCTCCCTGTAATCAGCACATTGAGACGATTTTTGGGGAGAGTGAACTCGAATTTGATTCAAAACCAGAAGACAATTTAGAGATGTTACTATCTTCGCTCTTTTACGCATTTGCTTTGTGATGGATACATTGGGGATGTCCATAAATACATAAATCGTGGCAGTCACACAGAAGCATAGCAACGAATATTGCCGACTTGCTGTCTATCTAAGCAACTGCATTTTCCATCGCTACATGATGCTGTCGCCAACGCACTTCATTTTACCTTCACGGCTAGTCAAACATCGGCCTGTTTCCGGTGACTGGACGATTTCTGGTGCTGGCTCAGAGCCACCCAAAAACTCTGCATGTGTATTTGATGTCAAGGCAAATTACTGTGCCTGAAGATCTAGAGCGTTCGGTTTTGTTGCACCGAGCGTCGGAAGAACATCGTTTTTTAACCAAACTGCTGGATTCACTCAAGAACTCTTGTTCTTGGATTGTAATCCTCATTGTGTTGAATTATCAATATATCGTTGCATTTAAGGAGGGGGTTTTAATAGAAAATTCGTCACAAAACATTTTTCATTAAACAGAAAACTACTCTTAGGCCACTTACTACATTCTAATGACATTTATCTTTAATTACTTGAAAAATAAGATGTTTTAGGTTCGAATCTCGTGATGGTAAGTACGATACTATTTGATTCTCACTCCTTGGTAAAAATATATTGTATAAAAAAAATATTATAAAACAATAATCCAACATGGTACAACTTTCTTGTTTTTCGCTTTTTTTATTTATTTTATGTCTTTAATAATAAAGAAAATTGTTTACTTATAGGTTGTTATGAATTAGTTTTAAGCTGGGACACAATCTCAAGTACAAATGAATACTAAGTGACAATAACAACGACTTGATAAAATTTTGGTGAAGCAAATATCATGCAAGCGCTCAAACGTGATGATTTTATTTTATTTTTACTTTTTTGCTACAAGTAATTGTGATGATTGCCAACCAACTTATGCAGCCTTGGGCATACGCCTAATATAAAAAATTGTCAAGCTTATGTAATCTTGTTCGATTATATTCGGACTAATGCTGTTTAAATTATTCTTACGAGATTGATGGACAAAACCATATTTTAAAAACATTTTTCAGTTACCCTTAAAACATGAAGAAGGCTCTATATATGTAAACCATTCATAAGAAAGAGATAACTAAACATTTTTTTTTTTCAATATTCTTTCTATCTTTCTGTAGAAAGAAGATTAATACATACTTATTCTGCTAAGTGAACATTTAAGTTGCACCCAAGCTAGCTTATGTGCGCAACTAGGAGAGACTGTGTAGAGTTAAGATACTGCGAGGCTCGATCAGGGCAAGTTAACGCATTTGCATTGCGCATTAACACATTGGAGCGTTCCCCATGGACATAAATAATTAATCTTGTCGCAGTCAGTCTGTTGAGAACATTTACGGATTGGATTTGGCAGATAAGGAACGCATTTGCATTGCCCATTAACACATTGGAGCTTTCCTGATGTACATAAATAATTAATCATGTCGCAGTCCTTCTGTTTAGAACATTTACCAATTTCATTTGGCAGCAGATAACCAACGCATTTGCATTGTCCATCAACGCAGGAAAGCTTTCCCGATGGACATAAATAATTAATCTTGTCGCAGTCGGTCTGGTTGGAACATTTGTTAATTTGATTTAGCTGGCGGCGAGGGCATCTGCATTCACCATCAGCACAGAGGAGGTTTCCCCATGGACATTTATAATTAATCTTGTCGCAGTCAGTCTGATTGGAACATGTACCAATTTTCCCATCGTCCTGATCAATATTTGGAACTGCTTCGGCTTTTGAGAACACTGGTACACCAGCACATAAAAAACCACACTCCATTTAGAGACTTTTAATTATGTAAATAAAATACCATTTCGACACGCAAAATGGAGAATATTGCATTAGACATTCTTTCATACAAACTGTAATAATAACGTAATATTTGTATTCGAAGATACTAGTTTAAAAAACTCACAAGATACAATAACGAAGAATACGAAGATGATAGCTGCCTTAGGTGTAACATTCTCCATGCTTTTGTTTATTGTGTCAACCTTTGATAGTGATCAATTTCAAGGCTTGTTTTGCAGGGTACGTAGGTGGTGAGACCCTTGGGCTATATTTATATTATAGGCGTTGGTATATTTGTGGAAGTTTTTTTTTTTTTTAAAGAAAGTTGAGCGTTAGAGAAATCGAGAAATAACTAGTCGTGTAACTGATTTCCCAAAATTAAACTAAATATATAGAAACAGAATCTGAATATGAGAATTGAGATTTCACAATTTTCTTACTCCGATCCATAAAAAAGTCTTGAACTCAACATGGAAAATGACTGAATAGATAGAAAAAAATCTGAATTTGGGAATGAAAGAATTAAGAATTCACGATTTCCTTACTCAAAATCAATAAAAAAGAAATCTTGAATCCAAGATGAAAAGATCTGAATATATAGAATATATATATGAATTGGAATGAAAGAATTACGAATTCACAATTTTCTTGCTCCAAATCCATAAAAAAAGAAATCTTGACTCCAACATTAGAAAAGAGATAACAAATCTGGAAATGAAATAATTAAGAATTCACAATTCATAATTTCCTTGCTTATAATCCATATATAAAAATGAAATCTTGAATCCAACATAGAAAATAACTGAATATATAGAAAAAAATTGAATTTGGTAATGAAAAAATTCAAAATTTCCTTGCTACCAATCCATAAAAAGAAGTCTTGAATCCAAGATGAAAAAAACTGAATGTGTAGAAAAAAGTTCTGAATTTGGAAACGAAAGAATTGAGAAATCATGCTTTGAATCCATAAAAAAGGAATCTTGAATCCAACATGAAAAATAACTGAATATATAGAAGAAGAAAATTTCTTGAATATACTAAGTCAAATATCGTACGCAAAGGTTTGGCATAAATCATAGCGTAATCTAATATATTGTTGAGAATGAATCCTATATTGATAAGAGAAGAGACCTTGTATAGACTTATAAGTAAGTTGAACCATTATTCATATTCTCAATTGATTTTATAGTTCATCCTTCATATCGGAGATGTGAAATAGAAAAGCTTTGTTGGGGAAATATATATAATTCCTTCTTTGATCAATTTTTTAACCCTACGGCCACACATTATTGATTTGGTGCCAACGGTAGCTTACATCAATCAAGGCGTAACCATTTTCCATATTTACAAAACCATATTTTTTCCTGAGATCCTTAATGTACTGTATTTTATTGAATATCGTAATTCACTTGAAATAAAAATCTCGTTCGAACTGTTTCTCTGTAGATTCTGTCATCCATAGTTTTTCTACAGATTGTCATTCATAGTTGATAGAAAATTTTATTACGTTACGAGTATTTTAGTCACCTTCAACCAATAATATACCGGTTAAACAACCAAACAGAGTGTATAACACCTGGAACATACTTGCTAATGCAACATTTATATTGAATTACACCTAGCCAGCTTAGTCCCTTATTTTAAATAGCAAGCAGAGAAAATGTAGCTAAGACCTTTATTAGTGAAGATGAACGTATGACTTGATCAAGGCGAATCACCGCACATGCATTGACCAAAACACAGTCGAGCTTTCCCGTTAATGTTGACATGGAGCATGCACCTTCTTGCAGTTAGTTTGTTTGTAACATTATATTGTCTCATGTGACGAACATTATTTGTTTCCAGAGCGACGCGGATTATGAGAATAATGGTTACCTGCAAAATAAAAAGGCAACACAAAATACTCCATTCACTAGACCATCAGTGGTTAAGAAAACTCACAAGATGCAGTGACCAAGAAAACGACCATCATATATAGCTGCCTACATCTTTCTCCATTTCATTCAAATTGTGCTGTGAATTTTGGGATGATGTGATGATCGATTTCAAGGCTTTTGTTTTAATTTATACGTAGGACTGTTGGCATTTCTAGTAGCTAGTTTAGGCTTTTAGTGGTGAGAAAATCTAATTTTTCTAAAAAGTATCAAGTGATACAAGTCATTTCCAACCCGAGAGTTACCGATAAGAAAATTAAACTGGATATTAGGAAAATTTAAGGCTTGGGAATGCCAATCCTTAGTTTTCATGTTTAGTATTTTTTTTTTTTTTTTGGGTCAATATATGTTTAGTATCCTTAACAAAGAAATGATGAATCTAACAGGGAAACATGAGGAAAAAAAAAATGCTGAAAGGAAATGATGAAATCTACAAGACGAATTTTTATTAAATTGCAAGCAAAATCGGGTAAGGGAAAATTTGATACTTTTATATATTTTTATTTTTGTTTTCCTTTTGGGTTATGATTGTTTTCTATTTAAACCAACTTATGTAATTGTATTTAGAATTACTAATAAATTTTTAGAGAACCCAAATACCTCCATAATTTTATATCTACACTTTTCACTATGCTAAGTGAGTTTGTATTTTTCACAAAATCATCACCAACTGCAAAAAATAAAAACAACATTATTGGTTCACTGTGATTATTATGATACACGGCCATCTAAAGAAACAGCAAAAATCAAAACAATCAAACAATAAAATTCCAAAACTCACCAAAATTGAGAAGCAGCATGGTAGCTATGTTCAAAAGGCAAATGAAGCTTGCCACATATGCATTGGCTACTTTAATTAGGTTATGCCCCTCACCTTTGACTTTTCCAATGGCTCTGTTTCTTTTTACTAGTCTTCATGCACACGTTCACACGCGTGTAAAAGATTTTTTTTTGAATCACAGCATACTACGCGTGATTTATACATTTTAAATGTATTTATATGTGTGAATTGCTTTAATATTTTTTTATGACAAAATGAAAGTCAAATATGTGGACTAATTGAATAATATTAGACTATGCTCGAAGAAATCCTTCATTAACTAATCAAAGCAGCTGAGTCCACATAATAAAATCGGTCTTTCAACTTTCATCTACATTCTATTGAATTTACATTAAAAATAGAGAAAATAATATTTAATAAACAACTTATTAAAGTATATTATTACTAGCTCATTGTGAGGCTAAGCCTACCCCATCCCTTTAGTGTAGATAATATCATTTGTTAAAATAAAAAAATAAAAAAATCACTTGACAACTAATTGAATCACATTATTATGCTCGTGCAAAAACCTTTTTTTATAACCGGCACTAAGTGCCTCTTAAGTGTTTAAAAATAGAGAAAATAATATTTAATAAATAAATGACTGAATCACATTATTGTGTGAGTGCAAAAGGCCTTTTTTATCATTGGCGGTACATGCCTCTTAAAATATTTTGAACATGTTTAAAAATAAAGAAAATAATATTTAATAAACAACTAATTGAATCACTCTTAAAATATTTTGAACGTGTTTAAAAATAAAGAATATAATATTTATTTGACAACTAATTGAATCACATTATTATGCACATGCGAAAAACCTTTTTTATAAACGGCGTTACTTGCCACACCCCGACCGAGATCAAGGCGTGCTGGCCGTCACCCTAGCGTGACGCCCAGCACGCCTTGATCTCGGTCGGGGTGTGTCATTACACGCCTCTTGAGACGTTTTGATCGTGTTTAAAGATAGACAAAATAATATTTAATAAACCACTGAATGAATCATTTTATTGCTAACCCATTGTGAGGTATTAATTATAAAAAAATAAAATAAAAAAAGCACTATATAAAAAAAAATTTAATTATTAAAAAAATACTGTTTATATGATGAAAATACCCATGTATTATTTTATACAATATTTTATACTTCTTTTGAACTTTTTCGTTTGGGGTTTTTCTCCCATTACTTTTTGGTGAAGCCATGATCCCAAAAAGGGGCTGCTAGCTTTATATTTCTTTTTATTTAGAAAAAAATTAAAATAATTTAAATAACTAAAGATCCATTGCCTAAAATTGTGACTCACTTTCTTGCATCCAAATTCAAATTTTATAAACCATCGCCTTAAAAGAGTCTCACATTGATGAAAGAATAAACCTTTGTAAGGGCTTATAAGAGGTTAAACTACTTCTCATATTGTCAATTGGTTTTACAGTGGAACCTCAACTTTCTTCATAATATTAGAGCATGTTGGCCCACATGTAAAGCCCAACGGTTTACATGTGCTCCACGCCACTCCGTTCGTGTTGTCTACATATTAGGCTTGAAAATTAACCACACGTGAGGAGGCGTGTGAGAATGTGAGGTATAAAAGTCCCACATTGGTAAAAGGAGAAACCTTGCAAGAGCTTATAAAAGGTTGGGCTACTCCCCATGTTATCAATTGGTTTTATAATAAAACCTCAACTTTTTTCCTGCCTTCAACAGTTTAACTAAAATATGGATCAATAAACCATATTATAATTATTACAGCATTTCAATTATTATTTCTTAAAGAAAGATTGCAACTTTTGTCAATCCACCGTACAGGTTTAAATTTTGAAGTTACACGGCCAGTTATTTTAGCCTTTAGCTATATAGATGGACAAAAGTACTTGTAAATATATAATGTATAGCTAAGATATACATTAACCATCCACACATTTGCATTCCCCATCGACACATGTGATAGTTCCCGAAGCACATTTAACTCCTTTGCAGTCGGTCCAAACGGAACATTGATCGTTTTGAATTTGCAGGCCAGACTGAGAGAACTCAGGGAGAAAGCACAAGCATTTCCCGTTATGACACGTAGCCCTTCCCTTTGGACAGTCTTCTGCAGTATCTCTACAGTCGGTGAGACTCCGGCAGTCGGCGGCGACGTTGTGAATAGCATTTGCGACTTCGCATGTGCAGACGTGATTAATACAAAGAACAAAGTTTGAGGGGCATGGATCGCAGTCGGCCTTCGAATTGC